AAAGTCTGCCAAGCTTCCTGTGATTCCTCTCAAAAAATCCACCACTTGACCTTCAGTAAGCAATGTACACAGAAAAGATAGGAAGCATTGCTCATTGTTGATCAAGAGGAAGACAAAAAAAACCCTAAACCCAACGTGGCTGCACTGGCTACAGGCAAACAAGTGGAAATATCAAGTTTTATCTAGAGAGCTGCTAGCTTACTGTCACAATGATGAGCTCATCTCTTGCATCTCCAGCAAACTATGTGTGAATAAACATTTCCAGTGGAAAGCCTTCTGTTCAGGAGTACAAGGATAGCTGAGGCTGAGTCATCCATCACTGTGGATTTAAAGGTATGAGTAACACATGAGAACAAACAGAATTTCTGGAGACAGAGAGGATCAGGGGAAAGCAGAGATTATTTCAAGCCTGGTTTTTAAGCTTTGGTACTTTTGCAGTTTCTTATGGTGAACAAAGATCTGGACTTTTAGACTCCATTAGATAAATTTGTTTAAAAATCTCTCACCTACCAAAGACTTTTGTATGTTACAAAAAACCCCCAAACCAATCAACAAAACCCATGATCACTAGAAATTTCTTTAGTTTTTTTCCCTCCTATACAGGGAGGGAAATGCAGGAAAATGCAATTTCCACTTCTGTTGTTCAGAACCACAAAGCAGCTTTGCTTTATTGTCGCTGCCGTAGCTGCGCAGAGGTGTGAGACAGCCTCCGCGTGCAGAAGAAGGATTGCAAGAGACTCTGCGACCCGTATTGTAATTAAGTTGGGAAGGCAGAGGGAAGTTAAGCGCATCACATTCACAGCGTGTGAAATACAAAGTGAAGCCAGGTTGCTGAGTCCCACCATGCAATTCTGTTTTGTTATCATTTATAGATTGTTTCAAAACTTAATCAGGAATCCCAACAGGATGTCTGATAAACAGGTCACAGGATGGAGGAGTTAATAATAATAACTAGAGTTTAGCTTTCAGGCTCAGATGTATTTTAAGCAATAAACCCTTTTCATACTTGTTTACAGCAGTTATTTATTCAAAGTGTTTTAAAAAAAATAATTTAGGTAACACTCCTGTTAAATCCAATCCTGTAACTTATCCTCGGAGAAGTTCTGTTAGTGCAGTTATGTGATTTTAAATGAGGCAATGCCAGTCCAATCAGCCTCCCATCCCTGCAAATGTTTCTGGAAGGGAGAAGTGAAATACAGCAGCAGGGCCGTTGCTGGTGACAGCTTGTGTGTATTTAATTTTGTTTTGTTTCCAACTCGAGAATCCAGACAGCTTGGCTTAACTTCAGGAAAGTGGGACCCAGCCTAAGCAAAGGATTAGTTCTCCAGCTGGCAGGATCCATGGCCTTTGGGCGGTGTGCTGCAATCAGAGCTTGCAAAATAACCCTGCTAATGGCCTCGGACCTTTTAGATTGGTGAAAGGAGAATTTCTTACTTTATTTTTTCTGGAGGAAGACTAAACCAGAACTCCCAAGTCCCAAGCTATAATTATCAATAATAATAATAATAAAATAATCTGGATAGAAATATTTCCAGTCTTAAGAGGAGCCTGCACTGAGATAAAATGCTGAGACTCAACAGAAGATCAAGATGGGATAAGCTGCGGGAAAAGAGCACTGACCATATTTCTCCTCTAGTACACCACAGAAGACTTTGCTTAGAGGGAAAGCAGAAGTTAAATCTACATTGACAGAGAGCATTGTGTGCTAAGTCAGTACCAGTTACAACTGTCCATTTTTATCCTGACAGTGTTCACGGTGGCATTTTCCAACAGGAGAACATCACTGACAGCAATATGACAGCGTTACTGAAAGAGATCACTCCAGCCTAAGTGATACGGACTCTCCTCCCCTCCATTCAGATGCAAAGCCTGACCTAAAGTGACCTCCTACAAATTCTGGTATAGCGCAGACTTGCACAGACATGCTGATTGCATTTAATCCAGTTATATTGAAAAAAATGTGTATGATAGCTATGCAAATACACTTGGAGTTCCTGCAAGCAGAGAGACAGAACCATGCTGGAAAGAGACAAAAACCAAAATGCTGGTGCTATGCAATCCATAGCGTGGGACTACGAAGAGGAAAAAATATAAGCAAAGTATTTATTAACAAGGACATATGGTTGTAGTTTTTTTAATTTCAAAGGCTGTCCAGAGCAAAGAAACCATCAGTGGCCTAGTCAAAGGAAAAAACTAACAAAATCAAACCCTAAAAAAAACCTCTCCTCACTTCAGTCTTACCTGGAAAACACTATTACAGCTTTTGAGCCTCTGCAGGACCTTCCCTAATATATCAGCCCTTCTGAATGGAGGGCAGGGAAACCGAAGACAACTGTTCTCAAACAAAAATTGCTCTCCAGCACTCAATAGCTCTTCTGTAAAATACCAGATATAAGCACCCACTGTTAGCAAAAACCACCAGTTGTGAGTTCCCCCAGCCGGAATTCCTGGTATTTAGGGTACAGCAAACACAGGTAATGTTTTGTGATTCACCTGGCAAGAAAATAAAGCTGTGTCTCCAAATAAAAACCCTGATTATCTTCACTTCTAGTTGCCCAAAAAACTAAGCATGGGCTACTAGGGCTCAGTTGAATACCGTTAGTCACAGAAAAATAATCTACACAGCCTTGAGTCAGGTTTTCTCTGCGCATTTAAGGAGGAGGTACAGCCTGCATCACATTTCGGGACTCTGGCTCCTTCCAACACTGGGGGCACTGAGGTCGAGAGGTAATTTCATCATGAAAAGATTTCATCATCGCACTGAGCAAGCGGAAGATTTGCTCTTGCCACATAGCAATGTGCTGTGAGGAGATAATGCAAGAGCCTTTTATTTTTAATTTATCAGAGGCAAGAGAGGGCTGAGCACTGCTGTGCTCTCCCTGGGATCCACACGCAGGAAATTCTCCTGGCTGCCATACTTCTCCAGCACTAACGGACAAGACTCATCAGAGTTACAAACAGCAAACCTTAGCCAAACTGGGATTTTGATATTTGTCTCCCTCCCCATACGCTTAAGACAAAGCAAAGCCAATTTTCACATTAAATATTAAAACGTCTGCACCTAAACATGAAGCGTTCAAGTCACTGCCAAGTGACTGGAATGTATCTGACAGTTTATACCTGGAATTATTCTTTGGCTCTTTGTCAGTTATATCCAGAAAACACACCACACCCCGATTCTGTTCCTTGTCACTGGCTGAAATCCTAATGAGAACACCATGGTTCCTCAGACACCATACAGTACTGGAGAAAAAGGAGGGTTTCAGTCTTCTATTGAGGATATAATTCTGAGTATAGCAGTCCTTCAGCTGAAATAGCATCCCCAAGTCCCACGGTCCGGACAGGATCCTTACACACCAAAACGGGAGTGAAATGGAATGAGATGCCTTCTCTGTGCCAATGCACCACTGGCTCATCTGGATTTAAAGAGATTTTGGAAGGTGCCTCCATCTGGGAGGTCACAAACTCCAAAGGAGCTTTCAAAAAGACTTTGTTGGTATCAATGGTTTCAGTCGCACAGGCCTGAGTCCCGGCTGCTCGAGCTCCGGCAGCCACAGCAGCAACCTGGTTGCCCCAGTGCCCATCCACCGTGACGAGGATGTGATAAGCCAGGGTGTGGAAGTGGATCCGCGTGAGATCAGAGGCTTGCTCTGCCATTTTCCCGTGCTCCTTCAGGATCCAGAAGAGGATGTCGCTGACTACACCCACATCGGGAACTCCGCTCCAGGAAGCGAGGGAGGCGTGGGGACCAGAGGCAGACTGTGTGAGGAAGAGCAGCTCCTGTTCGTTCAACCCAATGGAGTTCACCAGGGGAAAGACCTGCTAACAGAAACACAGGAACAACAGGTTTTTCCTTCAGAGAGAGAATCAGACTTCATCTTCCTCATTCAGGGTTTTGTTTTTACAGTACTGTGTTACTGGCTCTATTGCTGGCTTGCTCAACAAACGGGAGCACCCAGTTTCCTGGAGAGATGCAGGCCAAAGTCACCACACAAGCTTCCCCAGTCTACAAGTTTGCAAGAATTACTTAGCCAAAAAAACCATTTAACACCACGGGTACATGCTCATTTTGGTTAAGTAATTTTCTAAACGCACGCTTTGACACTAAGGAGTAACAAAACATCAAATCCACATGAAACACTCCTAACACTGAGATTAGAGCTGCGTCAAGTTAAACAAGGAACCATCAGGATCTGCAAGAAAGAAATTCTGCAAAGAAATTGAGGGTTTTTTTAAATTATAAACTCAGCTCAAATTCAAATCCTGTTTTTTCTAGAGATCTACAAGCCTGCTAAGTTATCTGTGTCTGTGGAGTTGTGAGTATTCTCCTGGGTCACCTTCCCCCCGTGACTGCAAAGAATCTTTATATCAGAAAACAGAGCCCAGCTGTGTTGCACAGTATTTTTACTGAATGCAGTTGCTGAATAAACTCAGATCTGCAAAAAATCATAGAATCATAGAATGGTTTG